AGTAAAATATCCCCAATTAAAAGTTGCATAAAAACAAATAAAATACTTTTTACAATTAAAAGCATGTTAACAGAGTTTCACATGCAGACTGAGCCACCTCACTCTCAGTTTGTTCCAGTAAAAACAATAGAATATCCCCAATTAAAATTTGGATAAAAAGAGTAAAATATCCCCAATAAAAATTTGGATAAAAACAAATAAAATACTTTTTACAATTAAAAGCATGTTACAGAGTTTCACATGCAGACTGAGCCACCTCACTCTCAGTTTGTTCCAGTAAAAACAATAGAATATCCCCAATTAAAATTTGGATAAAAACAGTAAAATATCCCCAATTAAAATTTGGATAAAAACAGTAAAATATCCCCAATTAAAATTTGGATAAAAACAGTAAAATATCCCCAATTAAAATTTGGATAAAAACAGTAAAATATCCCCAATTAAAATTTGGATAAAAACAAATAAAATACTTTTTTCCCCTTAAAAGCATGTTACAGAGCTTCACATGCAGGCTGAGCCACCTCACTCTCAGTTTGTTCTAGTAAAAACAATAAAATATCCCCAATTAAAATTTGGATAAAAACAGTAAAATATCCCCAATTAAAATTTGGATAAAAACAGTAAAATATCCCCAATTAAAATTTGGATAAAAACAAATAAAATACTTTTTACAATTAAAAGCATGTTACAGAGCTTCACATGCAGACTGAGCCACAACACTCTCAGTTTGTTCCAGTAAAAACAATAAAATATCCCCAATTAAAATTTGGATAAAAACAGTAAAATATCCCCAATTAAAATTTGGATAAAAACAGTAAAATATCCCCAATTAAAATTTGGATAAAGACAGTAAAATATCCCCAATAAAAATTTGGATAAAAACAAATAAAATACTTTTTTCCCCTTAAAAGCATGTTACAGAGCTTCACATGCAGGCTGAGCCACCTCACTCTCAGTTTGTTCTAGTAAAAACAATAAAATATCCCCAATTAAAATTTGGATAAAAACAGTAAAATATCCCCAATTAAAATTTGGATAAAAACAAATAAAATACTTTTTTTCCCTTAAAAGCATGTTACAGAGCTTCACATGCAGGCTGAGCCACCTCACTCTCAGTTTGTTCTAGTAAAAACAATAAAATATCCCCAATAAAAATTTGGATAAAAACAGTAAAATATCCCCAATTAAAATTTGGATAAAAACAGTAAAATATCCCCAATTAAAATTTGGATAAAAACAAATAAAATACTTTTTACAATTAAAAGCATGTTACAGAGCTTCACATGCAGACTGAGCCACCTCACTCTCAGTTTGTTCCAGTAAAAACAATAAAATATCCCCAATTAAAATTTGGATAAAAACAGTAAAATATCCCCAATTAAAATTTGGATAAAAACAGTAAAATATCCCCAATTAAAATTTGGATAAAAACAAATAAAATACTTTTTACAATTAAAAGCATGTTACAGAGCTTCACATGCAGACTGAGCCACTCTCAGTTTGTTCCAGTAAAAACAATAAAATATCCCCAATTAAAATTTGGATAAAAACAGTAAAATATCTCAATAAAAATTTGGATAAAAACAAATAAAATACTTTTTTCCCCTTAAAAGCATGTTACAGAGCTTCACATGCAGGCTGAGCCACCTCACTCTCAGTTTGTTCTTGTAAAAACAATAAAATATCCCCAATTAAAATTTGGTTAAAAACAGTAAAATATCCCAAATTAAAATTTGGATAAAAACAAATAAAATACTTTACAATTAAAAGCATGTTACAGAGCTTCACATGCAGGCTGAGCCACCTCTCTCACAGTTTGTTCCAGTAAAAACAATAAAATATCCCCAATTAAAATTTGGATAAAAACAGTAAAATATCCCCAATTAAAATTTGGATAAAAACAGTAAAATATCCCCAATTAAAATTTGGATAAAAACAAATAAAATACTTTTTTTCCCTTAAAAGCATGTTACAGAGCTTCACATGCAGGCTGAGCCACCTCACTCTCAGTTTGTTCTAGTAAAAACAATAAAATATCCCCAATAAAAATTTGGATAAAAACAGTAAAATATCCCCAATTAAAATTTGGATAAAAACAGTAAAATATCCCCAATTAAAATTTGGATAAAAACAAATAAAATACTTTTTACAATTAAAAGCATGTTACAGAGCTTCACATGCAGACTGAGCCACCTCACTCTCAGTTTGTTCCAGTAAAAACAATAAAATATCCCCAATTAAAATTTGGATAAAAACAGTAAAATATCCCCAATTAAAATTTGGATAAAAACAGTAAAATATCCCCAATTAAAATTTGGATAAAAACAGTAAAATATCCCCAATTAAAATTTGGATAAAAACAAATAAAATACTTTTTACAATTAAAAGCATGTTACAGAGCTTCACATGCAGACTGAGCCACTCCCAGTTTGTTCCAGTAAAAACAAAATATCCCCAATTAAAATTTGGATAAAAACAGTAAAATATCCCCAATAAAAATTTGGATAAAAACAAATAAAATACTTTTTTCCCCTTAAAAGCATGTTACAGAGCTTCACATGCAGGCTGAGCCACCTCACTCTCAGTTTGTTCTTGTAAAAACAATAAAATATCCCCAATTAAAATTTGGTTAAAAACAGTAAAATATCCCCAATTAAAATTTGGATAAAAACAAATAAAATACTTTACAATTAAAAGCATGTTACAGAGCTTCACATGCAGGCTGAGCCACCTCACTCTCAGTTTGTTCCAGTAAAAACAATAAAATATCCCCAATTAAAATTTGGATAAAAACAGTAAAATATCCCCAATTAAAATTTGGATAAAAACAGTAAAATATCCCCAATTAAAATTTGGATAAAAACAGTAAAATATCCCCAATTAAAATTTGGATAAAAACAAATAAAATACTTTTTACAATTAAAAGCATGTTACAGAGCTTCACATGCAGACTGAGCCACCTCACTCTCAGTTGGTGCAAAAAAATGTTGACTGAGCCATCGCACATCAGTCAAACCGAGCCACCTCACTCTCAGTTTAACGTACCAATAAGAATGGATACTTGATACGTATACGGGGGACGTTCCTATACCTAAAAGGGAGGTATAGTATCTGTGAACCCCAAACACAGAGCGCGGCTTAACTTCGTCATACGTATACACAAGTATCCAATGCTAACTGATACATAACGTTGTCATGTTTTTCATGTCGGTCACTGAAAATAATTTTTAAAATAATAACAAAAACCTTGATTCCAAGTTGCCTGTGGTAGGAAGTGAAATAATATCAAAAACCTTGATTCCAAGTTGCCTGTGTTAAGAAGTGAAATAACTTCTCTGTAAAATATATCTAGTTTTGAAATTCTTGATGGTTTTCTTAAGGATTGAAGAACATGTGGCATTCCGGTAAACACAGTGTGACAGCAACTCAACTATAAAGTAAAACCAGAAAGATATGAAAATGTAAAAAGTTGAGGTCTGGAGCTGGCATGTCAGTAACTGCTAGTAGTCTGTTGTTATGTTTATTTTCTTTTGTTTCATATTCTGACATCGAACTCAAGACAACTCTTAAACTGAGTTTCACTGTGCGTATTTTTGTGCGATTTTTTTTTTCTACATTGGCTAGAGGTATAAGGGGAGAGTTGAGATCTCAAAAAAACATGTTTAACCCCGCCACAATTTTGTGCCTGTCCCAAGTCAGGAGCCTCTGGCCTTTGTTACTCTTGTATGATTTTCAATTGTAGTTTCTTGTGTATAATTAGTTTAGTATGATGTCCATTATCACTGAACTAGTATATATGTTTAGGGGCCAGCTGAAGGACGCATTAGGGTGCGGGAGTTTCTAGCTGCATTCAAGACCCATAAGGGGCTTTCAGCTGTTGTCTGCTCTATGGTCGAGTTGTTGTCTCTTTGACACATTCCCCATTTCCATTCTCAATTTTAGTCTTTAATCATTATTTTTTCAAATTATGACTTGGATTGAGAGTTGCCTCATTGGCACTCATACCACATATTCTTATATCTATTTAACAATGACTTGTTCTTAGGTGGAAAGTCATTTTACTATTTATTCGAATTTCAAGATATCTCATAATATATAAGATATGTTATATAATATATAAGATATCTAATATATGATATCTTATTTAATGTATAAGATATCTTATTCAATATATGATAGCTTATAATTTCATTTTTATACAATATCTTATATATCAAATGAGATATCATATATATTATATAAGATATAGATAAGATATCTCATAAAGTATATAAGATATATTACATACTTTATAAGATATCTTCTGAATTTTATAAGATATCTCATATAGTTTAAAAGATATTTTATAAATTTTATGAGATATCTTAAAAACTATATGAGATATCTTATAAAATTATATGAGATATCTTATATAGTTAATGTGATATCTTATATAGTTAAAGATATCTTATATAGTTTATAAGATATCTTATATAGTTTATAAGATATCTTATATAGTTTATAAGATATCTTATATAGTTTATAAGATATCATTGGCATTTAAGGATAGTTACTCTCATTTGCAACCCTTCCATATATCCTTATTTTTTATATGGTTGAAAGATAAATGTAGTTTCCTGTTTGTATAACCGTGCATTGAGTTGCACTTTCAGGCTAAAAATAGACTTGATAAATTTCTGGCAGCACATCTATCAAGAATTAGCATATGACAATTTATTCTGTTATAAGTTTCAAGAAAGAAAATAAAAATTTGTCCATCTTTTATGTTGTTTTTGTTTATTCCAAACATATAAAACATTTTCATAATTCATTTAAATGAGCAAAAATTCTTCAATTCATACCAAGAATGTACCGTTTTAAACAAATTCTACTGAAATCTGAAGAATACTGTACAAGTTCTTCAAGTCTTTAATTGCATACAAATGTTTGTCACAGACTATTATCTGCCTTGTAAGTGTTCATATGAAAAACACCACATTTAGGTCATACAAATGCTAGTCCAGATAACATCCATGTAGTCTTTGAATTATTTGATTATTGTCTCATTTCTGTTAAGGATTCACTTCTAATACAATTGACCTTGTTCAAAGATGACGTGTTGACAACTCCTCTTCAACCAAATTGCTTGTTCTGAACTTCTCTCAACATACTGAAAAGTAAAAATAAGATTTATTATCCCTAAAGTATGCATGTTTAAGTTTAATCAGCCATTCATATGTAAAGTTTAGTTTAATCAATTTTGAATAATTGGTAAATGATTATAAAAAAGATGTGGAATGATTTCCAATGAGACAAATCTCAACAAGAGACCAAATGGCACAGAAATTTACTACTTTAAGTCACAGAACATGGTCATAGATAAAAGGCTCCAAAATTACCATAGTAAAATAATTCAAACAAGAAAACTAATGGCCTGATATAAGTACAAAACTAGAGGCTCTAAAGAGCCTGTGTCGCTCACCTTGGTCTATGTTCATACTAAACAAAGGACATACATAATAGATGAGAATAGAATTCATGACAAAATTATGTTTTGGTGATGATGATGTGTTTGTCAATCTTACTTTACTGAACATTCTTGCTGTTTCGATTTTCTCTATCTATAATGAACTTGGCTCAGTAGTTTCAAAGGAAAATATTTTGTAAATAAAATGCTCCGCTGGGCACAGCTTGATACGACCGCAGAGGTCGAACCCTGAACAGTTGGGGCAAGTATGGACACAACATTCAAGTTTGATACAGCTCTGAATTTGGATTGTGATTAAATATTTGACACAGCATAGGTTTCCGACACAGAATGAATGTGGTCTAAGAACTTAAATTTTTTTAATTTACCTAGTATGGTCCAATATCCAAAATACATGGTTAGATTCAGCATATCAAAGAATTCAATTTTTGATGATAACAGGGCCCAAAAATCAAAATACATGTTTAATTTTGGACCCCAACTTGGACCAACTTGAAAACTGGGCCCATAATCATGTTTAGATTCAGCATATCAAAGAACCCCATATATTCAATTTTTGTTAAAATCAAACTAAGTTTAATTTTGGACCCTTAATGTAGACCAATTTAAACAACAGGACCCAAAATTAAAAATCACGGTTAGATTAATTTTGGACCCTTTTGACCTCAATATGAACAAGTTTGATAGCTGGGCCCACAAATAAAAAATCTAAATACATGGTTAGATTCAGCATATCAAAGAACCCCATATATTCAATTTTTGTTGAAATCAACCAAACAAACAAACAAACAATTTAATTTAACAGTTTAATTTTGGACCCCAATTCGGCATAACAAATAAATAAATGTGGTCAAAGATTTTACAAATCTAATGCGCCATACTGTGCAATTAAAGATTACTTCTTGAAATTTTTCAATATTTGAAGAATAATTCTTTTTAATTTCTGAAATCTGAAATGAGAAAAAATTGACCCCCCCCCCATTTTTCCCCCAAAAAATTCTTTCCCTCAAGATATGGTCATAATCTCAATTCAAATTTCCAATGGAATTTGCAACCATAATTACCCATTTAAATTTACCATAGTGCTAACTTAATCTATCTTAAAATAGAATTTAAAATATGGTGTCAAATCTTTCATATGGATTTTATTTTTTTGTAAAAAAAAAAGATGCAACATTTGCAGATATTTTTACTGGTCTTCCTTTATAAATATGCATTTCTTTAAACATAATTTAAAAGCAGTGCAAGGGAAGTAATCAAAACATTGTATGTGGATTACCTCCCTTACACTGTTTTTAATTGTCTTAATTGTTCATTAACCATTACTTTATACATAATTTAAAAGCAGTGTAAGGGAGATAATTCAAATGATGTATTTGATTTATCTCCCTTACACTGCTTTAAATTATGTTTTGTACTAAAGTATTTGTCCATATAAAAATGCTTGTTTTTTGCCCCTTTTTTTGGCCCCTAATTCCTAAAATTTTGAGGCAATTACCTCCAAAATCAATCCCAGCATTCCCTTTGTGATATGGAACCTTGTGGTACAATGTCAGAGAGATCCATACACTAACACACAAGTTATGTCTGGAAGTTACAAAAATGCTTATTTTTGGCCCCTTTTTGGCCCCTAATTCCTTAACTGTTGGTACCATAACCCCCAAAATCAATCCCAACCTTCCTTTTGTGGTATTGAACCTTATGGTAAAATTTCATAGAGATCCATTCACTTAAACTAAAGTTAGAGTGCGAAAACTAATGTGTCTTCGGACGACGACGCCGACGCCAACGTCATACCAATATACTACCACAAAAAATTTTTTGCAGTCGTATAAAAATTACAAAAATTAACATAATTTACGAAAATTTTTAAAATTTACTATAAAAAGCAATAACTCCTTATTGACCGTTTTGGTCAAGTTGACTTATTTGTAGATCTTACTTTGCTATACATAATTGCTGTTTACAGTTTATCTTTATCTAAGATAATATTGATTATAATAACCAAAAACTGCAAAATTTCTTAAAATTACCAATTCAGGGGCAGGAACCCAACAACAGGTTGTCTGATTTGTCTGAAAATTTCAGGGCAGTTAGATCTTGACTTAATGAACATATTTTAATGAATGAGATTTGCTCTAAATGCTTTGAATTCAGAGATATTAGCCAAAAATTGCATTTTACCCCTATATACTATTTTTAGCCATGTCGGCCATCTTGGTTTGTGGACAGGGTAATTGGACACATTTTTAAAACTACATACCCTTAAGATGATGATTGCCAAGTTTGGTTAAATTTGTCGAAGTAGTTTCAGAGGAGAAGATTCTTTTAAAAGATTACTAAAATTTTTGAAAAATGGTTAAAAATTGACTATAAAGGGCAATAACTCCTTAAGGGGTCAATTGACAATTTTGGTCATGTTGACTTATTTGTAGATCTTACTTTGCTGAACATTATTGCTGTTTTCAGTTTATCTCTATCTATAATAATATTCAAGATTATAACCAAAAACTTCAAAAATTCCTTAAAATTACTAAATCGGGGGCAGCAACCCAACAACGGGGTGTCTGATTTATCAATAAATTTCCAGGCAGATAGATCTTGACCTGATAAACAATTTTACCCCATGTCAGATTTGCTCTAAATGCTTTGGTTTCAGAGATATAAGCCAAAATCTACATTTTACCCCTATGTTCTATTTTTAGCCATGGTGGCCATCTTGGTTAGTTGGCCGGGTCATCGCACACATTTTCTTAAACTAGATACCCCAATGATGATTGTGGCCAAGTTTGGTTAAATTTGGCCCAGTAGTTTCAGAGGAGGAGATTTTTGTAAAAGTTTACGGACGACCGACGACAAACGCCAAGTGATGAGAAAAGCTCACTTGGCCCAGGTGAGCTAAAAATAGGCACGTAAACACTGAGATTACTATATAATAATACTATGCTTTGGGGTAGATATCAACCTGAACCATTGATCTTTTGATTCTTAAACCTTCACCCCAGCCACACAAACACACACACAGTCGATGCCTAATACAGAAGTTCTGTTCTGTTCATACTATCGTAACAATATTCAAGAAATTCATATTTTCTTGTATCCTCTACTGTAAAATCCCTACCTGCTTAGGAATTTGAATTAATGTGGTCATTACACACAGATCTGAGATTACTGGAAGATAGTTGATTGATTTATTGCTAAACATCCAGTGGCAAATAGTTTTGCATGATCAGGACAAAAACAAATTTACGATACTAGTAAATACAGCAGTTAGCCACTAGGTCCTGTAATAGGGGTCGTCCAGGATGAAGGTCTGAACTTTTGAAAATGCCATTGGAAAATTAGGGTTTATTGATCGTTATTGGATAGGGACAGATATTTTGCCTTTCAGCAGACCCCTCAAAGAGTTGTTGCAAGTGTTATTAGCGTGCAGAGAGCGAGGCGAAAATTTGTTTGGACTATTTTAAGCTTAAGGCCCACAGAGGGTCAAGGGAAACGATTTTCAACTTTTTCGAACAAATCTTTTAACTCATTGGGGAAAAATTGGTTAAACAAATCTAAAATTTCTGACTTTTATGAATAACTTTCAGATCCAGTTTCATACACAAAGTCAATGATACACTTATTCAAAGTCAAGTCAACGTTTTTTTTCTGCCAATAAAATCAGTTATACTCTCATCAACTTCAACATTGAGGTTTGGGTGGGTATGAAGAAGGGATAGATTAGAAAGTCGCTCATCTCCGATCTCAGGTAGGACTTGATGCGTCGCATCGCACTGAAGGATCTTTCACTAGTTGCCGATGAAACGGGCATTGTCAATAAAATCAAAATAATCCTATGCACCGAAGGGTACAGATCGGTGTTTGAATACGGACGGGCACCGTATAAATAATAATACGCATTAGAATTACAATGTGTATTTTTTTTTTTATTCCAAAGGGGTATATAATTGGCAAATTTATGTATAGGCACGTGCCTAGTCGAGCCTTAGGTAGCTACGCCACTGAATGTGGCAGCCAAGCGATGCATTTATTAAAAATGAGTGCAAATGATTGGCATAAAAGACTAACATTGTTAGACATAATGAATAATATACAGAATTCAATATTTCACAAGGAACAAACATGGAATTAAGGAAAACTGGGTAGCAACGTTCAAGTGCAGTGGCGTAGCTACTATTGACGCAACGACGCACTTGCGTGCACAAACAAACAGGCAAAAAAAAAGTTTTGAAAGAATGATTGAGAAAGAGTGTGAGAGTGAGGGAGTATCGATAAATACAATTTATTCATCGATACTTATAAGAATACCCAAACTTTTCCATATTTTATCATCAGTTACATCAGTTCATATACCATCTTCTAAACAAATTTAAAGACTGATTGACTGGTTAATTCAGAGGAAATGTTTCTCGCCCACCTTCTAATTCCACAGAATGTTAAAGAGTTAAAACGCGAAGATCAGTTGCGTATATATATCACGCCAATGAGCCTCTCGAGATCCAAAGATATGTTGCTCGTTGAAAGATACCAGATCAATTATATGAAACATTGGAAACGACAAACAAAGAACTGCATTCTAATGTATACTGTAGATTTCTTCTTACGATGCCACCAACAACTGCAACTGAAACGGGTTAAAACCTATCTTAGATATACAATGAGACAATAATGGCTATCTTCTCTAATACTATTGCACATTCATGCTGATTTTGAAATTGATTTGAAAAGAAGTTGTTGACATATTTTATAATACCAAACAAAGAAAAATGTTGCTTGCTTAAATGAAACCAGTAAATTGTTGTTATTTGCAAATCACTTATCAGTTAACAAGATAAAAACCAGATGTTGAACTCTAGACGTCTTTTATTATTTTTGTGTGTCTTTTGGTTGCTGTCTTATATATACACCACAATTTCGTTAATTCACATTGAAAAAAATTGGAGGATACCGATTTCAAAAATTCGTTTCACATCGCTTCATGATTATGTGCTTTACCCAAGATGAAGTCAGGAAGTCACTCTATCTTTATAATTTTGTCATTTTTTGAAATTTGGTGTCAATGACGGATCTTTTATAGTCTCTGCAAATTGTATTCACAACTGTGTTGCTCTGGCCGGTTTAGAGCTTGATATATATTATTTAGACACTTGTCCATTGTTGGAGGACGTTTGTTAATATCGTTTGACGTTTTTTTTATCTATGTTGATAAAATGCTGTCTCGCTTGCGTGTAACCATTTCATTTTATTCCCATTTATCGGTATGTCAAGCAAACTTGAATAATTGGATTGTTTTGAGTCCGCATGATTTGTTCTTCAGACTCCTTTTCCTCGTACTAATCAATCTTAAAAATGCATAACTATTGGTTTTATTTGTACACCTTTTCTGTATTGACTTGTTCATAATCAGCTGACTGCTTTGGTGTCGTCATAGCGGCCAAAAACCAGCAACGATCGGGCCTATGACTAAGCCAATGTATTATCTATTTCATAATATTATGTTACAGCCTACATATATTACAAAATTGTTTGCATCACTCTTTGAAGGTCGATTGTCTCCGTCGAGTTCTCTAGCATATTCAATAGGCAAATTAGTAGAGCAGCATTATACTGGTTTATAAACAAATTGTCGTCACTGAATCAGTCCAACACTCATGTCCGTTTATCGAGGTATAACTGGACCCTGTCATTACATATAATTCTAAAGAAAATTAGACAGAACAGATAAATTTCCAACAACAAAATTCTTCTTTGTGCTTACTTAATTCTCTGAGCTTCCCCCTGCCCCCTACCAGAGCTTTGCCTTGGACCCACTGGGGGCCTTCAGCGGCCCCTGTCTCTTATCGACAGATTCTGCGTGCACTGCACACAGAACCTGGCTACGCCACTGAAGTGCCCGGTATATGGTTTAGCAACACCCAGCGGCATTGGGTTTTGTAACCACGTGTGTTAAACAATCAATATCCTAGAAGTATACTGAGCCAGGGATAACTTCTTATATAGATATAGGAAGATGTGGTATGAGTGCCAATGAGACAACTCTCCATCCAAGTTAAAAATTTATAAAAGTAAACCATTATAGGACAAGGTACGGCCTTCAACACGTAACATTGGCTCACACCGAACAGCAAGCTATAAAGGGCCCCAAAAAATTACTAGTGTAAAACCATTCAAACGGAAAAACCAACGGTCTAATCTATATTAAAACGAGAAACACGTATGAACTACATAAACAGACGACAACTACTGTAATCAGATTCCTGACTTAGGACAGGTGCAAACATTTGCAGTGGGATTAAACGTTTTAATGGTACCAAACCTTCTCCCTTTTCTGAAACAATAGTATAACATCACAACATAGAAAAACACACTATAAAATATCAATTGGAAGGCTTAACTCAATCAAAAAACGTAAATTAACACATAATGAACAAATAAATTTGACCTGTGACACCTGAATGCAAATACAGAGTTAATAAAAAATTACAAGGGATAAATAATTAAAGTCAAAAGTAAATAAACAGGTTTAAACAAAGTTAAAGTATGATATCACTGTTATATCTATTTACAGGCTAGTGATACAGTAGTTTCACTACTTAGACCATTCAGCCACCGAGGCCCCATTATGGCAGATCCAGGGGAGGGTTGCTGGGGTTGGAACCCCCCTTTTTTTAACGATCAATGCATTTGAGGTCATATAGTTCTCTTACTTTAGATTGCCTTAACTAAATGGTATGAAAGTTATAATACACAATACTTATTACCACAAAACTCAGTTCAAGTACAAATTTGGGTAGCATCACTTTTACCATTCTTCATGATCAGTTATGTCCCTTTATGCCAATATGTTTTTTCAGTAAAAAACAAATCTAAACAGTAGGGTCAAAATATTGTCCCTAGAAACTGATGAGTATAATAGTACCAGGTAAAATATGAAATTTATGAATATTAGTCCAATAGTCCATGTAGAATATGGAAAATGAATAAAAAAAATTATATCTTGAAGTTACTCCTGAATATCAAATGGCAATTGTTCATAAAACATGTAAACCATAATGCCAAAGAAGTATAAGACCTATGTCTTCTTTTTGTTTGTGACAATGCAAACATTCTGTAGCCAATGTTAATGAATTAAGACTGAGATGTAGGGTTAAATAATTTCCACGAAGACAAGAAATGCCAATGCTAATCATTCTTATACAATTTTATACCAAAACTACCATTCATTGACTAAAATTTATAAGCGGTTCCCTCTAAACTGGATAAAGCACAAACTTGAACCTATATTAATTACATTTTTCTGATACTAACTTTTCATAGGTTATGAACTATGATGAGGGAACAGTACAATGTAATTTCCATAGAAATGAGATGAGCAAATGCTTATAGCATGTATAGGATTGCATACCAATATATTTAACAGAAAAATTTCGATCTGATCTGGAAATTTGAGTGATAATACAAGAACGCAAATGTTTCTATTTCTATTCAATAACTGGTCGTCTCCTGTGTAACAACTTTTTATATGAAGAATCTGCAGATGGTTTGTTGCAAAGCAAATTTTATTGCCACCACCACCTATCTTTCGTCCATAGCTAGTTCCTCCCCTCTCCAACAATTTTTACAAAATTTTTAGAAGCTACTTAAGTTATTTACATCTATTAACGTTTTATATCATCTTGAATATGCATTAAACATTTGCCACATTACAGTAAACAAGCAATGTCTAAGCATATGCATAGCTGAAGATATGGTATGGGTTTTGCTCATTGTTGAAAGCCATAGTAACATACCATTGCTTAAATCTGCAATATTTGGACTCTCAGGGATAGTTGTCTCATTGGCAATCATAGTACCACATCTTTTTTATTTATGACTATTGATAAAAATCAACCGATCAAGTCTCCTACCTGTAAACTTTGATTAAATCTTCTGTGATGAATGACCTCTCCTTTATATCAATTTCAAAATTCAGAACTGCTTCTCCTTATGTCATTGGCTCTCTTCAAATATCCTTTCTATGCATTTAACCATGAAGATTCTTCATTTGATTCATTTACTAATAGAAATTTCCTGCAAAACATAAAAACATGTCAATTAGGATAAATAAATAGGCATATTATTTTTAGAATATTTGTACAAAACTGAGTAGTTTTGGTAGTATAATAAAAATCTGACCCTGCAATATCAATAATCAGTACAAAGAAAGATAACTCTGTTCATTTAAGATGACAATATCAACGAGATGGCTCTAGGGAGTGTGTTGGTTTCTACAAACTTGTCATAAAACATGTATCAGGGCAATCACGATTTTGGCAAAATTTGACATATTTGTAGATCTTGTCTTGCTGATCATTTTTGCTATTAAAGTGGCTTTCTATCTATAATAGTTAAATGTAAAATATTATTATTGTTTTCCAGAAAAAGAAAACAAATGATAAAAGTCATCATTAAACAGTCAATAATTCTAATAATGAGTAGTTTTTAATTTCGTTAAAGTTTGACTTGTTTGTAGATATTGTCTTGTTGATCATTTTTGCAATTTGAAGTTTCTTTAAGCTGTAATGTTTCCAGGGGCGGATCCAGCAATTACATAAGGGGGGGGGGGGGATCCCAACCCAGGATAAAAAGGGGGAGGGGGTTTTCAACCATATGTCCCCATTCATTTACATTAAATGTCAAAAAAAAGGGGGGTCCAATACATAATTACTTTTAATTTTTTTGGCAATAACCGAGATATTCAAATATTGTTTGGCATAAATTCTTATAAAATGATTATTTAGACTTATCGGATTGAACCAATATTTTATAAATATGTGCTTTTGTGTTTCATAATAATCATTCATTTGAACCTTTTATTCTGAAATCATTCATTTTGACCATTCATACAAAATCATTAATGTAATACATTAATTCATATCAGTATATTAGAAGGCATGTGAGGTATTAATTATGGAACACTGACCTTATTTGAAAAAAAATCAAAGATGTCCACCAAATTTGAATAAAATTATATAAGGAACAGCACAGCTCCAATCAGTTCAAAATATAAGTAAAGTCTGACTAAACAAAAGAATTTCCCTCCTAAATAGACACATGACTTAATGAACCAATTATCATAAAGGAGATAGAGTTTTCATAGCACAAACTAGTTAAACCTAGAGAGTAAACTAATACTCAATGGATCAACATTCACTGAGCCATGAAGAAAGAAGTCTTACAATAAATAAAACCACTGATGCATGACTAGAAACTACTCATTAATTACTTAGAATTAAATTTACTAAAATCTGATGTAAAATATAAAAATATCAAAGTATGATACACAAAACAACAGTATCCAAATTAACATACTACATGTAGTTACCATGGTTACTTGTTTGATTAACATTCAGTGGCAATAACATTTAAATGGAGTACTTCTGAGTTTTCCCCCCAAAAAAACATACATTTTCTTTTGAATATTAAAAAAAATATCTGAAGATTTTGTTTTGGTGATTATTTTGTGAATCTTGTCCTCATGATCATTTCTGCTCTGAATTTTTTTATTGCCCCTGCCGCAGTTGAGGGGGCATTAAGTTTAACCCTTGTCTGTCTGTAAGTACATATGTCCCAAAATTGGTTTCGGTTTTCTAACTTTAGTTTGCCTCAACAAAATGTTATGAAACGTTGAACACAATGCTTATTACCACAAAACACAAGACAAGTTTGAATTTTGGTGGCATCACTTTTACCATTCAAGAGTTATGCCCCTTTAAAAATGAAAAAAAATGCTGTATTTTTTGTTACGTTCTCCCACTTCAGTTTGACTCAACCAAATGATATGAAACTTATACACAATGCTCATTACCACAAAACACAGATTGAGTATGAGTTTTGGTGGCGTCACCTTTACCATTCAAAAGTTATGTTTTTTTTACAAATAGAAAAGTTGCTGAATTTTTTGTTTCCAACTTCTGTCAGTTTGTCTCAACTAAATGTTATGCAATGTATATACAATGCTTATTACCACAAAACTCAGTTTAAGTTCAAATTTTGGTAGCGTCACTTATACAGTTAGTGAGTTATGTCCCTTTATAACGTTATATGCTAGCAGGGACATCATCTGAGTCCCTATGGACACATTCCCCATATATTTTATCTTTTATAGTTTTTGAATTAAAAGGAAAAACACTAAAATTGGTAAAAATCATCAATTAGGGGCAATTACTCCTTTACAGAGTTAACCAACAGTTTTGTCCTTGTCATATTTCTTGTCTTGCTGTGGCCAGGTGAGCTAAAGTAAGGAGTTGTTGTATAATTGCAAATGAGACACTTATACACCAAATACCAAATGATGTAGATGCTAGCTACTTTTGGTCATCATACAATGTTCAACGATGATCCTTAAAGCCATAAAACTCTATAGCAAGCTATAAAAGGCAGTCATGAACCAATTTAAAAAATAAAATAAAATGAGAAAACCTATGTCTGATTTAGACTAAAACTATAATATTAGAATTACAGCCATTCAATCACAGGCTCCTGACTTTGGACAGGAATTTAAAGAATGTGTTGGGTGGGGGAGGAGGTTTCATATGACTTAATAATGTTCCCTATGAAATAATGTCTAACAAAAATTTTTTCATAATAAATATAAATACTGTCCATGGAGGCATGGACAATATTTACTTATTTAAATGTGTCCAAGCCACAATTTTCCTATGAAAAATGGCCTTAGGTATGAAAAAGTGTCCATGAACATATCTCACTGTATATAGCCATATTTAATCATGTTAATACTAAAATTTCTATGATTTTTTTTCATACGATTCAAGTATAATATAATAGCCATGTTATTACTAAACATATTTTAACCTATTATATATATATATTGCTTACTTTTAATACATTGTTTCTTTGACAGAGAGAAGTGTTGTCTCATTGGCTCTCATACCATCCTTATATTCTTGCTTACATTTTTATACGACCGCAAAAAATTTTTTGGGTTCGTATAATGCTATGATGTCGTCGTCTGCATCGTCAGCATTGTCATCCGAAGACATATTTGGTTTCCGGACAATAACTTGAGTTTATGTGAATGGATCTCTATGAATTTTTTTAAGAAGGTTACTACAAAAGGATGGTTGGGATTTATTTTGGGGATGATGGTCCCAACCGCTTAGAAATAAGGGGCCCAAAAGGGGCCCAAAACAAGCATTTTTCTAGTTTCAGGATACTTACTTGTGTAAAAGTATTTCGATTGGTCTGAAATTATACCACAATGTTTAATGCCACATTTTGGGGGTTATGGTGCCAACAGATTGGGAACTAAGGGCCAAAAAGGGTAAAAAAAAAAAGCATTTTTGTAGTTTCCGGACAATAACTTGTGTGTATGTGTATGGATCTCTCTGACATTGTACCACAAGGTTCCATATCAAGGGAAGGCTGAGATTGAGTTTGGGGGTAATTGCCACAAACATGCAGGAGTTGGGGGCAAAAAAAGTACCAAATACAATCATTTTTCTAGTTCAATACCACAAAGGGAAGGTTGGGATTGATTTTGGGGGTTATGGTACCAAAGGTTTAGAAATTAAGGGCCCCAAAAGGGTAAAAAACAAGCAATTTTGTAGTTTCCTGACCATAACTTGTGTGTAAGTCTATGGATATCTCTGAAAATGTACCACAAGGTTCCATATCACAATGGGAATACTGGGGTTGGTTTTGGGGTTATGGTACCAACGGTTTTAAAAAAATTGGGGACCAAAAAGGATAAAAAAAACAAGCAATTTTGTAGTTTCCGGACCATAACTTGTGTGTAAGTGTATGGATCTCTCTGAAATTGTACAACAAGGTTCCATATCACAATGGGAAGACTGGGTATGAGTTTGGGGGTAATTGTCCTAAATGTTCAGGAATGAGGGGCCAAAAAAGGGGCTAAAAACAAGCAATTTTGTAGTTTCTGGACAATAACTTGTGTGTAAGTATATGGATCTCTCTGAAATTGTACTACAAGGTTCCATATCTCAATGTGAAGACTGGGTAAGAGGTTGGGGGGTAATTGGCCCAAAAGTTCAGGAATTAGGGGCCAATAAAGGGGCAAAAAAAATAGCATTTTTCTTGTTTCCAGACAATAACTTGTGTTTAAGTGTATGGATCTCTCTGAAATTGTACTGCAAGGTACCATACCTCTAAGAGAAGGCTGGGATTGAGTTTGGGGGTAATTACTTCAAGGGGGGGTCAAAATAATTGGGGAGGGGGGGGGGGGTCATAAATTTTATGTATTTTTTTTTTAATTTTCCATTTTTCAATCAATTATATTAGATATATGTAAAAGCAAAAAATATTGATATGACAGGAGAAACACACAAGTTATCATATGAAGTATTGTGCAATAGCAAGAAATCTTCCAATTGCATTGAATATAAATTCAAATAATATAACCAATTCTAAGTTCTTTGACTACAGTTATTCTGTGTCAGAAACCTGGTATGTGTCAAATATTTAATTACAATCCAAATTCAGACCTGTATCAATTGCGAATATTGTGTTCATTTTTGCCCCAACTGTTCAGTGTTGAACCTCTGCGGTTGTATCCAGCTGCGCTCAGCGAAGCAATTTATTATCCATTTGGGAATGGGGGTCAAAGGGGATATTTTTCCTTTTTTAAGACAAAATTTTTAAATTGTACATATGACTGTTTTTTTATATATTTTTCAATTTTATCTCAGTTAATTTTAAGCCCCCCAAGTCAAATCTGAGACTAAAAAACTGGTACTCCAAAAGGAAAAGATAGGTGACCCACTGCGGGCATTTGTCTTGGTGAACTAGTGTAATAAAAACTTTGTTCCGGCGTGACATTTGTTCCACCGGAACAAATTTCATACGAAATATGTTCCATCGGAATTTATATCACAGAAAATATGTTCCAGCACTGTAAAATTTGTTTCAGAACTAATTTTATGACCAAATGTGAAATAAGTTCCGGAACAAATATCATAGCTCCATGAATTTTGTTCCAATTAATATTACATGTATTTAGAGTTATAAATAAGATAAATATTTAAGTTTCTGTGATATTAGTTTTAAACGAACATGTACATATTTCATAGAAATTAATAAGTTCCGCTCAAACATATTTTCACAGAAATTAGTACTTTTGCAACATATTGCACAGCTAAATATTTTCTTGTTACACTTAAATTATAATGCAAGCTAAATGCTGTACCGAGTGTGCTTGCATGGGATACATTTGCAATCAAGGGATGTCTGTAACCATAGGATGAAGATACGAAATAAAGCCATTGAAAAGTATTATAATTTGTATTTATTTTTTATGTAGTATTCCACCTTGGTTCCTTTTAACTGTCATGGCCCCTTGTTCTTGTCATACATGTACTGAGGTCATGACACAGTTTCAAAAGAGTATGTCTTTTGAAACTACATGTCTTTTGATACAATTGATCAGTTATTATGTCCTTTTCAAATAAGTACATATGTTCATCCTTAACTATACTTTTTTTCTGAATGATTTTTCTTATTCTACTCTTTTCTGGCTCAAAAGTGTCATTTTGATATTTTTACAGAGTATATAACTAAACATGCTAAACATTTGCTATACTCCACAGGATCTGAATTTAGAGTTATAAATAAGATAAATATTTAAGTTTCTGTGATATTAGTTTTAAACGAACATGTACATATTTCATAGAAATTAATAAGTTCCGCTCAAACATATTTTCACAGAAATTAGTACTTTTGCAACATATTGCACAGCTAAATATTTTCTTGTTACACTTAAATTATAATGCAAGCTAAATGCTGTACCGAGTGTGCTTGCATGGGATACATTTGCAATCAAGGGATGTCTGTAACCATAGGATGAAGATACGAAATAAAGCCATTGAAAAGTATTATAATTTGTATTTATTTTTTATGTAGTATTCCACCTTGGTTCCTTTTAACTGTCATGGCCCCTTGTTCTTGTCATACATGTACTGAGGTCATGACACAGTTTCAAAAGAGTATGTCTTTTGAAACTACATGTCTTTTGATACAATTGATCAGTTATTATGTCCTTTTCAAATAAGTACATATGTTCATCCTTAACTATACTTTTTTTCTGAATGATTTTTCTTATTCTACTCTTTTCTGGCTCAAAAGTGTCATTTTGATATTTTTACAGAGTAT